AACTTATTTTTAAAGGGTTAAGAATTGGGTACGCAGGCCTGTCAAACATTTCTGCCCTTCGTCTCCCTCCATTCTTACATTATTTCATTCATACATCAAGGAATAAACATTATCAATAGCATTCAAAATATTAAGTACAAGCACTGGAATGTCTACATTTCTAACTACAGTAAACCATAGTGGTTTTAACAAATCTAGGGAAAACATGCACTATTGTCTAAAATAAATTTTTTTTTTCATCTTATATGGGGGCATGTAATCTGTGCTCAGATAATATTCTAACAGTTTTCGATTGTATGTACAGGGACTAGTGGTATTTTTTGATTGTATGTACAGGGACTAGTGGTATTTTTGATTGTATGTACAGGGACTAGTGGTATTTTTGATTGTATGTACAGGGACTAGTGGTATTTTTGATTGTATGTACAGGGACTAGTGGTATTTTTGATTGCATGTACAGGGACTAGTAGTGTTTTTGATTGTATGTACAGGGACTAGTGGTGTTTTTGATTGTATGAATAAGGACTAGTGGTATTTTTGATTGTATGTACAGGGACTAGTGGTATTTTTGATTGTATGAATAGGGACTAGTGGTATTTTTGATTGTATGAATATGGACTAGTGGTATTTTTGATTGTATGAATAGGGACTAGTGGTGTTTTTGATTGTATGTACAGGGACTAGTGGTATTTTTGATTGTATGTACAGGGACTAGTGGTATTTTTGATTGTATGTACAGGGACTAGTGGTATTTTTTATTGTATGTACAGGGACTAGTGGTATTTTTGATTGTATGAATAGGGACTAGTGGTGTTTTTGATTGTATGTACAGGGACTAGTGGTATTTTTGATTGTATGAATAGGGACTAGTGGTGTTTTTGATTGTATGAATAGGGACTAGTGGTATTTTTGATTGTATGAATAGGGACTAGTGGTGTTTTTGATTGTATGATAGGGACTAGTGGTATTTTTGATTGTATGAATAGGGACTAGTGGTATTTTTGATTGTATGAATATGGACTAGTGGTATTTTTGATTGTATGAATAGGGACTAGTGGTGTTTTTGATTGTATGAATAGGGACTAGTGGTATTTTTTATCTGTTGTGGAAGACAGTTCCACAGCTGAGCTGTGGAGTATGCCAAACTTGTTTTGTACAGGTCTATCCTAAATTTAGGCATGTGTAAAATGTTTAGGTGCTTACTGTGCCTTCTATTTGATTTAAACAACAGACATAAGTAACATGGAGCCTTTTACGATAATATTTTGTGAATAAATTTCGCCTTATTGAAAAGTAGATGTTCAAGGAAGATTACAGGAAGTAGAGATAAAAGGGATAGACAGAAACAAAATATGATAGTAGCATTGTATGATGTATCAAAATGAGATACTTGGAGAGAATTAAGGGGAGACAGAATCAGATACTTGGGGAGAATCAAGGCAAGTCACTGAATCATGTAATACAATAAAAACACTTGGCGAAAACACTGAGACAAACAGGAAAACTTGTGGTTTCTCAGTTGAGCGGAAAATAAAGTAAAAACTATAAAATAACACTGTCAACAACTGAAACCAGATAAAGCATTAACCCAGTAACAACCCACAATATCAAACAGACAACAAAGAGGCAGGCAGCAGAAACTATCAACAGTAACTAGGTGACAGTTACAACAACAATGGCAAGCATGCACTAGTGTTGTCATCAAACATTCACCTGCTGGCTGCTCTGAAATAGTAATACATAAATCAGTCATATTTACATCATCACATACTGGCTTTTCTACAAGGTTACAGTGTTAGGATACACAGAAGGCTCAACAACTCTAATTGGTGAGAATTAAGAATCAAACAATCATTTACATAGTAGGCATGCATTTACATTTGTTTTTAACATATTGAACTCATTAATTATGATAATCAATTACCCAATATGGTCACCACGGTGCAAAAAACTATACACTTCTAATAAATCATGATTATGGTATCTGTAAAAGAATCTGACTGGAACTGGGCAGACTGAAATATTACATGCAGCCTGAGGATCTCACCTAGAAAGGTTGACATTGATTGGTTTTTGAGGAATAAAAAAAAAATCATATGTTTGATATTTTAGCATCATTATATACATGTACCAGTAATAAAATGACATATTTTAATTCAAATGTTATCACTGTAGTCATCTATCATCATGAAGCAGGTCCTTTGCAGAACGTCGCTCTCATCACAGTCTGCCTGAAAGAAACTCGGTCTCTCGCCAGTTCTCCAGGCCTCATGCACTTTCACACTCAAGGAGTCACTTATATTCTGTGCCCATTTTCGTGTCAGTCGGCCTCTGCCCCTCCTTCCTGGTACCATGCCTTCTGCTATAATTTTTTCCAGTCTGTTGTGGCGCTTGATATGAAGAAAATATTTCAGCTTCTGAGACAGGATGCTGTATATCAGCCAATGTTCCTTGATGTTCAGATCTTTCAAGATGACAGCATTTCTCCTCTTCTTTGTCCAAGATATTGTGAGAATCATTGTACATTATTGTGGGATAAAAGACTGTTTCAGTTTCAATTTTAAAGCCAAGCAGACAAATAGATTCAGTGTTACTTTGTTTTAAAGCCAAGCAGACAAATAGATTCAGAGTTACTTTGTTTTAAAGCCAAGCAGACAAATAGATTCAGTGTTACTTTGTTTTAAAGCCAAGCAGACAAATAGATTCAGTGTTACTTTGTTTTAAAGCTCACTAATTATGTTAAAAACACAATACTGAGATTTTAAAAAAACTTTTGAAATTTTTTCAAAGCCAGAACCTTTGACATGCACACTTTCAAAAATATCTAACAAATCATAGTGTGTCTTTCCTTAAAAAAATTTATGTATTTCCTTTTTTGCATGATAAAGGTTCATTGTAATTAAAAGTTCTAAATAAAAACAACTGAATGTTCAGATTGTATTCTCATAGCAAGAAAATGTCAACATTGGTTGCTATACAAATTCGTCTAGGGGGAGGGACTAGGTAGAAGTAGACTAGATTCTTATCAATGCAGATTATCTGTACTCTTCAGCATTCCGAGCCCTTGAGGTTCACTGCTGCAGATATCACCTGCCTCCACTCATCTCTCTGGTTGGCCTTCTCGTTCCAGTTGGTGACACCAAGTGTTTGTAGGTCTGTCTGGATTTTATCTCTCCCTCGTCTTCTTGTTCTGCCTCGTGGTCTACGGCCATTCAGATGGTGTATACAGTTTTTACCTACCTGTCATCTGAGACTCTCTCAATATGTCAAGGCCATTTCAGTCTATTAGCTCTCATGAAATAAGTAACAGGAACAGTCCTGGAAAGTAAAAGTGGCTGGTCTGATGTTGACCAAATCACACATTGAGTTCTGACAGGTCTATAAAATACAGGTCTAGCCCTATATGCCCAATGTGCCTGGAAAATAGTCCATTAAATTTTTTTTAAATTCCACAAAGCTAATATATTCACCTGTTCATTTCTCACACACAGGCATGCCTGGAGACATGCTCTTTACCTGTGACCTCTCAAATGAAGCATGTCTGTACTCCCTTCCTCAACATGCTTTCTGCATCAGTTACAATCATGGTGGGTGGGTGGGTGTGGGTGTGGGGTGGGTGTGTGTGTGTGTGGGTGTGTGGGGGTGGGGGGGTGGTGGGTGGGTGTGTGTATCATGTTCCCTGTGTGTGGAAAGTGCGTGCGTGCGTGCGTGTGTGTGTGTCATGTTCCCTAACCAGTGGAAAGCTGCAGTGAACCCCAATATGAACCCCAAAGAACTTCTAGGCCTCTTGACACTTGAGCCTCTTACCACCAGATGGCACTGATATCAGTGGCACATAAAGCAACTGGCACTGACACCAGCTGACACATACAGCAACTGGCACTGACACATACAGCAACTGGCAATGACACATCTGACACATACAGCAACTGGCACTGACACCAGCTGACACATACAGCAACTGGCACTGACACGTACAGCAACTGGAACTGACACATCTGACATATACAGCAACTGGCACTGACACATATATCAACTGACACTGACACATCTGACACATACAGCAACTGGCACTGACACCAGCTGACACATACAGCAACTGGCACTGACATATCTGACACATACAGCAACTGGCACTGACAAATCTGACACATACAGCAACTGGCACTGACACATCTGACACATACAGCAACTGGCACTGCCACATACAGCAACTGGCACTGACACATCTAGCAACTGGCACTGACACCAGCTGACACATACAGCAACTGGCACTGACACTAGCTGACACATACAGCAACTGGCACTGACACCAGCTGACACTACAGCAACTGGTACTTACCTGTTGACTCTTCCTGTTGTCACCAAGGCTTTTCTCAGATTTCCTACTGCAGAAGTATTGGGTGTTTCCCTTCTTCAAGTACTACAAGAGGAGAAGCAGACAACATTGCTGGGCTATGACAGCAAGCACAATTTGGAGGTGCAACTGTAGCAGATCAAGCACATGATGCGTGGTTGTGCATGTGGGTGTGTGTGTGTGTCTGGATGTGTGAATGCTCACAGGAACAGTCATGTGGGTGTGTGCAAGCACATAAGCACAATCATGTGGGTTATGTTATAGTACATTATCACAATTGACATCTTTGTAAACTGGGCATCCCCACGCAACTCAGTCCTACAATGCAGCAGCCACTCTGCTGATTGTTCACATGGGGAGTTGATAACAGTATCTCCTGTCTTTACCTTGAGCACAGCATAGAGGTTCTTCACAACAAGCTCAACTCCTCGGTCACGCACTCGTGTTAACGTCAGAGATTCGCCATTATACATAGTCCGAATAGCGTAGTCCGAAATCAGCTCTATCCATGCTTCTTCTCGTTTGTACTGGTGCATAACTTGCCAGCTGATCAGATGTTCCATTACCATTTACAAGCCATATGGATATGGTGACAAGCCATGAGGACACGATGACAAGCCACGCTCTTTCTCATACTGGCCTAACGTGAGAGAAGAGCATAAAGTTAAAGTTAAAAGTCCAGACTTTACAGCACCGGACTTTGTGCCATATAGCTCTGTCTCGTTCCACTGACAGGCTAGCAGCCTGCTGACAACGTCAAATAGAGCATGAACTCCGTAGCTACGGTAAGAATCAACAGCTAATTCATGTACACAATTGCAGTTGCTGACAAAATACACAAGTCATGAAATTAACCTAACCTATGACCATCAGAGTGGGAGACAAACAGGATGATACATTTGTCAAGAAGACCCTGACAGGAAGATGATATGAGACAAAGGCATGGGTCAGCTGTTTCTCAAAAAATTTGCTGCATGGTGTTGTTCCTACAGTCTGTCTGATAATATCATTTCTAACATTGTCTCAGATGGCTAAGTTGGTGGTTTTTTTTGGGCATTTTATTTCACAGGTGTTAATTTAACAAAGGTTAGTCTTTGATAATGCACAAGTCTGAGACTGTTAGCTGGTATGAATATGCTGTTTAGAATTTGTTTCTTGGCACTTATACTTATGTGTGGATGTCTTAATAACGGTGCCAGGTGGTATATAAGTGTAATGGCAGGCTGGCACCTTGTTTCTATTTAACTATCTATTCTTCCATCCTCCAAGAATATATTTAGTACAAAATATATCTGTATTTACAGTAATATTGACAAGGTGTGTGAAGTATCTGTCTGTTACCATACAACATTGACAAGGTGTGTGAAGCATATGTCTGTTATCATACAACATTGACAAGGTGTGTGTTGTGCTTGCCTGTAACAAGGCAGTGACAAGTTGTGCTTGGTGTGTCTATAACACAGAAGGACAAGGAATGTGCTCTCTTGACAACACAACAGCATTAGGTGTGCACAGGTAATAAATACATCAATACTGAGAAGCTCACAGAAAAGTCAGTAAGGTTCACTGATACCATTTATGGCAGAATAAAACAGCTGGTGTAAAAAGGGGCAGAAATGATATGAGAGGAGACATAAAAGGACAAAGGCCAACATAAATATACCTGAAAGTGATCAGGTGGGGCTAGCTTCAACTTCTGACGCAGATCTTCAGGTGCACCAGCACACAAACGATAGAAGATGTGGTAGTTTCGCTCTTCAGGTGACTGGGTGCAGATTCTACTCTTCTCCAGCAGATAGTGGGAGATGAAACCGCCACAAACCAAATTCTGAAAACACGATTTCCATCTATTGTTGGCACACTAAATCTGGGTATATTTTGAAGACAAAATGTGACAAGCCATGGAGAGAAAATGTGAATAAGATCAAGGTACCCCCTGATGCCAATGATTGACAATCAACTGTATATATCATATGTAACAATGCATTAACAACATGTGACCAGCCACGGACAGAAAACATGAAATAATATCAAGATGATCCCTGGTACTTTATATGTCCACCTTGCCTTTTCCCTGAGTGTTGAAAGTCAGACAGATGGCTGGTCACTGGTGGCTGAACCACTCTCCCCACATCCTGATGACCTATTTGTGCCTCTGCACTGCTTACTTGCTCCCTAAGGGCCTTGAAAATATTTAGTTTGTCACAAAATAATTTACCACTCAGTGGTGCAGAACCAGCTAGTCTGTCTGCCTTTTCCTTTACAATCAAACCTTATCCCTGGAGAGCATATCCAAAGGAGGCTTACTAACCAGGACCTCTGAAGCGATGCATACCATTTTGCACACAGTATACTTGTCTCCACCTTTTGTAGCACAGCTCTGTTCTTTGCGTACGAAAATGTCCCACCCAGGTAGGTCTTTAGTCCTGCTGCAGAAGAGTCGACTGAAGAGTATAGATGAGGAGAAAGATGGTTGTGTCGATAGTGGTGATGATTATGATGTCTTGCTTGCTGCATGCTTCTCACGTCTCTGATGCTTGAAAATAAAATATCTGGAAACAACTCTTCTTTTCTATACTGTCTTTATTGTGATACTTTAGAAATGTCACAAATAACTTCAATGATATTCTGAATGGCGCTGTATTTGCTCTATGGTTACATACTCTTGAGGTCGCTTTCTGCTTTTCATCTCTAGTTACTTTGTAAACTGTGTCTAGTGTCTGTAACTGCCACCTGGCTTCTAGTGCTGTCTGATACTAATGTGTCTCTGTTAACTATGGATCCATGTTGTCTCTGTAGTTCGATGTCTTGTTTCATGTCTCTTCTCTGGTGTCTTTGAGGCTCCATGTGACCGGTTCCTCTACTTCTAGTGTTGAGCTGGCATCTCCACAGCTGCGAGGGTCATTGAGACTAGTCGCTCCTTTTCTAAGTCTCACACTGCATAAGATTTCATCATCTTATTCTGCGCCTAAATATAGTAATTAAATTGACAGCTGACTTCATGGAGACTTCTAGAAAGCCAGTACAACTGTATTCACTTTGATAGGGCACATCAACAATGACATCAGATACTATTTATAGATTATTCATTTGCAAAATAATAACAAACAAAGATTCTAGAGAGGGGAATGTCAGGGTTGCCAAAACTGGTTGATTCTGGTACATATTAGCTTTGCGCAATATCCTACCTCCTAACAAACAAGTGATGACATCTCCCTCTTACACTTTCTCAGCATGCACTGTGAGTCCGTTACAATCACTATCATGTGTGTGCAGCTGGTTATCCAGCCAGTGGAAGGCTGTAATGACTGCCTTCACCTCTATTCTCAAAAGTGGTAAAAACAGGAGTGACTGGAGTTAAGCTAATACCAAGGAATTATAATTTCACGTTCACCCCTTAGTGTTTGCAGTAATCTCCCCCTTGTTATGACCGTTGTAAGTTCATGCTTTTGTCGAGAAAGGCCCAGCCCCGAAAAGTTTTTTGGTGTTGTTTTGTGCATCTTATTCTGCTTCCTGATTTCGTTAGGTTTTTCAGTCATTGTTTATCGGATTAATTTCTCTATTCTCAAACCATATGTTATTGTATCATATAACAAGCTTTCTTGCACTAAGGTTTTCCATTCTTTGCTAAGAACATCCATGAACTTTGTATGTCTCTCAAAACAGAGCCATTCTGTGTAGACAATCACATCACATGGACATGAACTGTCATGAATCGTTTGTTGAACTTCTGAATCCACAGCATGTGCACCCCAATATAATTTTTCTAATGTTGAAATAAGAATCAACATCACAGCATTCGGGAAACCCCCATTAGTGCTCCGTCCTTATCTTCAGCAGAAAACGAAGAGTTGCAATTCTGATGGCACCAGTATAGGAGTAACTGTATAAGTAACTGTCTGACTGTATATGCGTCTCGCCCTTCCCCTGAGTGTTGCCTTCGCCAAGTTCCCTGGTAACTCCTCGCAGCGCCATTCTCCTCAGATCGTAATAATCTACATGTGCCTCCGCACTGTTTACTCGCTCCCAAAGGGCCCTCCCAATATCTAGCTTGTCATACATGAATTCACCACCAAGTGGTACAGAATCAGTGAGTCTGCCTGTTATTTCCCAACACACCAGCATGACCTGGAGAAAATATCCACAGGATGCTAACTGCCTGGGACCTCTGAAGTGATACTTGCTACTCTGCACGGAGCAGGCCTGTCTCCACCTTTCTCAACATGCTCTGAGAGTCAGTTACAATGACGGCATGCGTGTACAGCTGATTCTCAAGCCAACAGAAGGCAACAGTGGCTTCCACCTCCATTCTCAAACTAAACATTGTGATATCATTTACAAGGCTTTGTGGCACCAAGCGACGTCCATTCACTTTTGCTTAAAAAAACCATGCACTCTGTCTGCCTCCCAACACAGAGCCATCTGTATTGATAACCACATCACTTGGGTGGGAATTGTCATGAATCATTTGTTGAACTTCTGATTCTGCAGCAGCAGCTGGCCAGCCCCTGCACTCATGACCTAAAGTGATTAGAACCCTACACAAGTCTGAAACTTGCTCGAACACCCTTACCTACTCTCCTTATCCAAATTCATCAAGCCTGCAGAGATGTCCAATTGTGCCTTCTGTATGCGCCATCCAAGTCCTGTTTCCTGTCTGTGACCCTTAGCTCTACCCAGTTCTTCATGCAGGAGGTGCCTCTTGTCCGCAGCTACTCTTAGATAAAGACTTTGCTTGCAGAACTTTGAGCCCCGTCTGCAACAGTGGGCAGCAGAAGTATATATCGCATAAATACTACCGGGGTATCTCTTGTACATCCCAGAATTACGCAGTTGGCTTCATTCTGTATGCTTTCAAGTTTCATCAATTGACTCTTTGACACAGTAAGCATTCGAAGTTCATAATCCATCATCGACAGGATCACATGCTGGAATATTGTGAAAAGCATTCTTTGTTCCATGTCCATGATGCCATAATCCTGAGAGCATCGAGTCCTTTTTTGGCATTTTAACCGCAACTGCCTTCACATGATCCCCAATAGTCAGGCTTCTATCGAAAATGATACCTAGGTACCTCAGTTTGCTTTCTCTTTTGAGGTTACAGTTATTAATTGAGAGGCTTGGAACATTAGCTCATTCAATACTATTGTCCCAGAGAGCACCACAAAACAGCCACCTTTTCTGAACTGATGACCACCCCATTTCTGTACACCAGTCAGTCAATTTATCTACAGTTGCCTGTAGCTCCTGGGCTATCCGTTGTTTATCCTTCCCCTGCCTATATAGAAGAACATCATCAGCAAATGTAAACATCCATCCAGCACCTGGTGCTTTAAGTTCTGCAATCTTGCTTGTATACACATTGAAGAGCACTGGTAAAATTGCAGAACCCTGGGGTAGTCCTGGGGAAATATTACAAGGTTCTGAGGTCTATAAACCCAGGCAAAGGGCAACCATACACGAATGCAGGACAGCTGCTATCATGTTCACAAGCCAGGGACAAACTCCCTTCTCCATTAGTGCAGATATTAAAATATCATATCTGATTCTATTGTAGGCATCCTCGAGATCAAGTGCTGCCACAACCGTCTCCTATTTTTTCTGGAACCACTCATGTATCTTTCCGTGGCCAGTAACTACCCAAACCTTTTGGCAGGAGCTCTTCCCTTTCCAAAAACATTTGTAGTTTAACAGCAATTATCTTCTCAAGCACTTTGCCAAAACTATTTTGTAGGGTGATAATCCTGAAAAAGCTGATTCTGGAATGATCTTTGCCTGATTTCTGAAATGGGATTAGGTAGCTATGTACCCAATCCTGGGGTACTAATGCTGTTCTGATGCTTGGTTGAAGTGAAATGCCATGTCCCTTAAGTCTATATCACTCATGCTCTTCATGTGGGCATACTTGACTCAGTCTGGCCCTGTGCAGTGTCTTTTACTTTTTGCAATACATATTTTATATCCTCCACTCTAATATCCTGAAAATAATTATTTATAGTTTTATAAAGATTACCTCTAACTGAATTTCTAAGCTCCTTATCATTATGATCAGTTTGGGCCATAAATCTCTTAAAAAATGCTTCCTCTTTCTCTTAGTCTGTTTTCACTGGAATATCATTAACAGTGTATATAATGCCTGTTGTTATAGGCCAATCCTTCCTTTGCATCTGTCTGTGCAGTTTCTGAAAACCACCCAGTGATTTATCCCCTCAAATTTTGCTCGTAAAATGTTCCTTTTTTGCATCAGCTGCACACCGCTTGGAACTCTTCTACTTTTTTTTCTAACTCTTTTTAGCTTTTCTACATCCTCTTGTTACCTGTGATGTGCCTTTCGATTTTTCTGTTTTTGTTTAACTGCCACTCGCTCTGCTCTCAATGCCTGTTCTACTTCTAGGGTCCACCATGGAGGCTGCACAAAAGCAGTGGTGGTAGTTCTGATGCATACCATCTGTGAAAGGCCACCAAGAAGGGTACTGGCCTTCTCATGCTTAAAAGTCTTGCGCGTTCTCACAGCCCTAACCTTGCTAGCTTTAGAAATCAAGACTGAGCATGGCATATGGTCACTCCCATGTTCGCCTAAATCACTCTATTTTTGTATCCAGCACTGCTGACTGGGTAACAAACACAAAATCAACTGCCGTGTCTGCATCACCAAGTCTGGTTGCCATTCTAATTGACCTACCATTGTTTATACAGACTATTTGCATCCACCATGGCTTCCGCTAAAGCAATTCCTTGTCTATTTTCCCCAGAACTGTCCCATGCTCTGTTCAGTACACTGAAATCTCTTACAAATCAGAAGCCTATTACCAGGGATTTCCTCAAATTCTATGCTTTTTTCTCTCTCCATTTCATCATCTTCTCTTCTCACTCTCTACGTTGCCACCTGAAGCTGGTAACAGGCACAGAGCACGCACTCCGTAGCTACGGCAATGATTCTTTTTATTATTAAGTACAAAACTCATAGAAAATATTCTTTCAATGCAGGAAGTAAATGATCATCCTAATATTTCCTGCCTGCTAGGGAAGAGGCAGGGTTTGTCCTGATGGAGTCCATACCCCTGGCGCCGCCCCACTCGCTAACCAGATATTCCACATTCATGACGGTATAACCTGCAGACATTCAGCCAATACGCAGGCAGGTCCACTGTAAGCTTAGAGTTTTTATCAAGGTTGTCTCCTCTAGACCCATTGTGTTTTGTGCACCTTCGGTCACGCACAACGGTCTTGACTGTAGAAGGGTTTTCCTGATAAGGGACTTATGACCTAAGTGTGCCCCTTTCACGCTGTAGGTAAGTGTACTCATAGAGCTAGACCAAGCTCTGAAGGCAAAACAGCTGGTGTGCTCCACTGCCTGAGAGATTGGACATCTCATCCCTGGATCTCTCTGACCCTTGTGTATTGTGGTACACAATAATCATAGGTGGCCATATTTCCTTAGATTTCATTTATGTTGCTAAGGGCGCTAAGGACTGTGACGTATTGCCAATTGCAAAAACATCAAACAATTAATAATTCCTCAGTATATAACAAACACATTAACTTCCCTGCAGCATCCAGCAGTGGAACACACTGCGGTGATGTGTTTGAACTGATAAGAGCTTTTGATTTAAGTGATGAAAACCGATACAATATGCAAACTTCTTGCCTTAAAATATTCAAAGTAACTAGCTGAATTTGTTCACCAATACGATTATAACCTTACACAAGTCTGATTGTTGCTTGGACACTCTGTTGTACTTCTCTCCTCACCCAATTATGTTTAAGCCCGTGATATTTTGCTTCACCCACAGCTTCATGCCGAATGTATTTCTTGTCTGTGGCTTATCTGGGGTATGATCTTGTTTGCAGAGCTTTGAATTTAGTGTGCACAGAACAGGACACTCACCTTATCAAAGCGAATCTCCACAAGGGACAGGACATTCATCTTGTTATCAAGGTTATCTCCATAAACAATAGGACACTCACCTTGTTATCAAAGTGATAGTACACTCACCTCATTATCAACCTGATAGGAAATGCACCTTATTATCAAAGTGATAGGACATGCACCTTGTTATCAAAGTGATAGGACATGCACCTTGTTATCAAAGTGATAGGACATGCACCTTGTTATCAAAGTGATAGGACATGCACCTTGTTATCAAAGTGATAGGAAACTCACCTTATTATCAACGTGATAGGACATTCACCTTATTATCAACGTGATAGGACACTCACTTTGTTATCAATGTGATAGGACACTCACCTTGTTATCAACATGATAGAACACTCACTTTGTTATCAATGTGATAGGACACTCCCTTGTTATCAACATGATAGAACACTTACCTTATTATCAATGTGATAGGACACTTACCTTGTTATCAACGTGATAGGACACTCCCCTTGTTATCAACATGATAGAACACTCACCTTATTATCAATGTGATAGGACACTCACCTTGTTATCAAAAAGAGAAAGGACACTAACCTTGTTATCAAAGTGTATCTCCACAAACTTGCCAAACCGACTGCTGTTGTTGTTCCTCACAGTCTTGGCATTACCAAATGCTTCCAGTAAAGGGTTTGCTGACAGAAAGAAACAAGGTACTACTATTATAATGGCTCAAAGGTTTGACACAGAAGATCTGTCAGCACTGTCTGTGTTTGACTCATGTGACATTTCTGATGCTACAAGAACATAAGTGATGCTTCCAGAGAAGATCAATACACAGAAAACAACTACAACAATCCAATCATCTTCTGCTTCTTGCAGCTCCTGCTCTGTGGTGCTGGCAGTCATGTCTGTGCACAGCCTTTTGCCCAATCATCTGACGCAGATGATTTTCCATGCGGTGACATCAAACAGCCCAGCATCTTCTCTCCTGGTCATCCCTGCCTCCCACTTTTCCTCTATCCATGTACTCATCTTCCCTTTTATGAAGAATGTAGAATGTCTCTTTCTGGTGCAGATAATTGTGTCTCTTAATGAGTTAATTTCTGTCAAGACAACTGTTTTACTTTTTTTATCTGTCCCAGGTACTCTCATCTTTCATCTATAAAACACACTCTGCTCTGCACTGTCTCATAGACTAAACAATATATCTAGGATGTCAATAACTTCGAGACTGTCCAGACTATTATCTGTGTGACTAACTATTCATGATTCAATTCCATACATCTAGACTGTCTATACAGAGCTCCCTAGAACTCTCTTTCATTGAAAGAAAAAAAAACAGATTGCATAGAGCATAGAATATTCTTCATTTTTTTTAATGCTGCTTCTGCTTAAACTATTGCATTTTTAACTTCTTTAACACATCTTCCTTGTTTTCTTCACTTCTCTTGCACAGCTTCAGGTGTTGGGGGATATATAACATTCTGTTGCTTCAACTTAGTTGAATAGCCATGATGTAGAGTTTCTATGATGCTATCTTTTCCATCTTGTTCTTGGTCTACATCCCTCTCTTCTTTCAGTGTATGTCAAGTATGCTATGGTGTTGATAGGCTATCTTTCAAGTGGGCAAACCCTTTTATTTGCTGTCTTTATATGTAACAGATTTGGTTCCATACACACATTTTTCTTTTCTGACTTCATTCCTGATCTGTTTCTTCTGGTCAATCCCACAGCCTTTCTGAGACATTTTATTTCCATTGTTACTAATCTGGTTTTCTGGTCTGTTGTGAGACCATGTCTGGCGCTGGGGGCATTGAGTGGGAATGTATATGCTTTTTATAAAATGTTACTTCGTGCTGATAGGGATAGTCCTATGCTGTAAGAGAGAAGCTAGCTGTCCAAAAACTTGGTTTGCTTTACTGCATCAGATGATAATTTCTTTATCTTATTAGCCATCTTTGGTGAATCTTATTCCCTGAAATCTAAACTCATATGCCGGGTTAATAGCTTGGCACTATAGTGCAATACAGCCGCCATTTGTAACTATCAGAGTAACTAAAGCTAAGAGACATGGACTTGTCCCATTGACATTGTTATTGTATTTTGAAGGGTGCATTTTGTAGGGCACATTTTCTGTAATTAATGCTATAGTTAAAGTTTGCAAGATGGTAAATTTGCGCACAAGAACAAAGGATGACTGAAATGAGAAGATGTTGGCATCAATGAACAGTGTTCACAAAATGATTATCTCCGCCAAACAAAACAAACGAAAATAAAACAGAATAAAGACTGACAGAGAAAAGAGAAGAGACTCACATTCAAGTATCCTCTGTTCAATGGGTCCGGCCCGAGTCCCCCAGCATTCAGTCAAATATTTGAGGATGTGTTTGGTGGACTCAGTCTTGCCCGCTCCAGATTCCCCAGAGACAATAATAGACTGACTGACCTTGACCACTTTCATGTCGCGATAAGCTTTGTCAGCTGTCAATGGAAGCAGTTGTCACAGGCTCAACCTAATACTCACAAGTTTGTTTGAGACATGTATAGTGTCAATTCTAAGATGCAACTTCCACCTAAAACATGTACAGTGCCAACTCTAAGATGCAACTTTCACCTAAAACATGTATAGTGTCAACTCTAATATGCAACTTTCACCTAAAACATGTATAGTGCCAACTCTAAGATGCAACTTTCACCTAAAACATGTATAGTGTCAACTCTAAGATGCAACTTCCACCTAAAACATGTATAGTGCCAACTCTAAGATGCAACTTTCACCTAAAACATGTATAGTGCCAACTCTAAGATGCAACTTTCACCTAAAACATGTATAGTGTCAACTCTAAGATGCAACTTTCACCTAAAATATGTAAAGTGCCAATTGTAACCATTTGAGTTTGAAAAAAAAAAAATTATAAAAGATAGTGCCGGCTGTAACATATGACTTTTTGCTTAAACATGCATAGTGTGAGATGTAACAATTTCAGTTTAAACACTGACAGTTCCAGCTGTAATATGCAACTTTCACTTAAAATATGTATAGTGCCAGATGTTACAATTTCAGTTAAAATACTGGCAGTGCCAGCTGTAACATATAACTTTCTTTTAAAACATGTACATTGCCAGCTGTAAATTATGACTTTCACTTGAAACATGGATAGTGCCAACTGTAATATATAAATGTAACCTAAAACATGTATAGTGCCAGTTGAAACAATTTCAGTTAAAGCGCAGACAGTGCCAGATGTAACATATGACTTTCACTTAAAGCATGAATAGTGCCAGCTAAAACATATAACTTTCACTTAAAACACGGATAGTACCAGATGTAACATATAACTTTCACTTAAAACATGGATAGTACCAGATGTAACATATAACTTTCACTTAAAACATGGATAGTACCAGTGTGAGATGGCAATAGCTGAAATCAGATGTGAGATTGAACACAACTGAAATGAAATGTCCAATCAAACACCCTATCAGCAATGAGATAAATACAGGAGATTATGGCAGTTTCTACCTCCCATGTTTTCAACTTGCAAGTTACTTAGCTCAAAATGTATTAGTTACACTCTTTATAACGCTTCTTTCAAATTTAGTATGAAATTTGCAAGGAGTAGTTTACGTTCAGTGTCACAGTCCGCTCCAACGAGTGTCTTTGCAGATATTTTACAGGTCTGTTGTATTAAAACATATTTAATGAGCTATCTCCACCTGGTGAAGTCCAAGTGTGAAGTCTTTGCATGTGTTGTTCCAACAATGTGGTGGTAATACACATATATTTTCTTTGAAGAATTCCATTAGTAAGAAAAAAAATGCAGATATTATTAGCTTATCTTCAGAATAACCATATAAATATGATTAACTTAACACATAGCACAACCATGTAAATATGACTAACTCACACAAAGCACAACCATGTAAATATGACTAACTCCACAAAGCACAACCATGTAAATATGACTAATCACACAAAGCATAACCATCCATGTAATTATGACTAACTTACATGTAACACAACCACGTGTAAATATGACCAATGTATACAAAGCATAAACATGTAAATATGACCAACCTACATACAGAATAAATGTGTGAATATGACCAAAGTACACTGAGCATAAACATGTAAATATCACCAATTTACACATAAAAAAAATGTGTGAATATAACTAACTTTTTACAATATGAATACAAGTATACTACCACTTATAGCCAAAACCTGGAATTACTAAAATTATTTTTTTTTAATCCACACTACAATCCTGGAATAACCATACGGCACACAGGTGGAAGGAACATAACTATAGCACAATCCTGGAATAACCATACGGCATACAGGTGGAAGGAACATAACTATAGCACAATCCTGGAATAACCATACGGCACACAGGTGGAAGGAACATAACTATAGCACAATCCTTGAATAACCATACAGCATACAGGTGGAAGGAACATAATTATAGCACAATCCTGGAATAACCATACGGCATACAGGTGGAAGGAACATAACTATAGCACAATCCTGGAATAACCATACGGCATACAGGTAGAAGGAACATAACTATAGCACAATCCTGGAATAACCATACGGCATACAGGTGGAAGGAACATAACTATAGCACAATCCTGGAATAACCATACGGAACACAGGTGGAAGGAACAATAATATAGCACAATCCTGGAATAACCATACGGAACACAGGTGGAAGGAACAATAATATAGCACAATCCTGGAATAACCATACGGAACACAGGTGGAAGGAACATAACTATAGCACAAAACAAGGAGGTATGAGCCTACCTTTAATAAAAATATGAGGAATGAACCTACCTAAAGCATAAACATGAGAATGAATGAACCTACCTAAAGCAAAACATAAGGAGGAATGAACCTATCAATAGCATAAACATAGGGAGGTATAAACCTATCAATAGCATAAACATAGGGAGGTATAAACCTATCTATAGCACAAACATATGGAGGTATGAACCTATCTATAGCATACACATATGGAGGAATGAACCTACCTAAAGCATAAACCTGAGGTGGAATAAACCTATCTATGGCATAAACATGAGGAGAAATGAACCTAACTATAGCATAAACATAAGGAGGTATGAACTTATCTATAGCACAAACATAAGGAGGTATGAACTTATCTATAGCACAAACATAAGGAGGTGTCAACTTATCTATAGCATACACATGAGGAGGAATGAACCTACCCAAGCATAAACATACAGAGGTGTAAACCTATCTGTAGCATAAACATGGGGAGGAATGAACATATCTTTGGCATATACATGGCGAGGAATGAACCTACCTATAGCATACACATGGGGAGGAATGAGCCTACCTATAGCATATACATGGGGAGGAATGAACCTAACTATAGCATACACATGGGGAGGAATGAACATATCTTTGGCATACACATGGGGAGGAATGAACCTACCTATAGCATACACATGGGGAGGAATGAACATATCTTTGACATACACATGGGGAGGAATGAACCTACCTATAGCATACACATGGGGAGGAATGAGCCTACCTATAGCATACACATGGGGAGGAATGAACATATATATAGCATATACATGGGTAGGAATGAACAGATAGATCTATAGCATAAACATGGGGAGGTGTGAACTTACCTATAGCATACACATGGGGAGGAATGAACATATCTATAGCATACACATGGGGAGGAATGAACCTACCTATAGCATACACATGCGCAGGAATGAACAGATAGATCTATAGCATAAACATGGTGAGGTGTGAACTTACCTATAGCATAAACATGGGGAGGTGTGAGGCATAAACCAGCAATCTAAAGCACAAATAACAGACCAAATCATCGTCAGTCTCAGCATCAACCATAGCAATTTATCAGCACACTGACTACATAATATGTTCACCAAGCAAGCCAAATAACAGACCAATCAGTCAGCTCAGAGAGCATCAACCATGGCAATCAATCAACACATTGACTAAAATAATATATCATCCAAGCAGTCAAACACGAGACCAAATCAGTAACCATTCAGACAGCATCAACCATGGCAATCAATCAAGACTATTGACTACAATAATATGTCACCATGCCCAGGCCAAACCCACGACCAAATCAGTCAGTCAGCATCACCACGGAATTAGTCAAGACATTGACTACATAATAATGTCACCAAGCAGCCAAATACAGACCAAACATCAGTCAGTCAGTCAGGCATCGTCAGCATCAACCATGCAATCAATCAACACATGGCTTACAATAATATGTCCACCAAGCAGCCAAATACAGACCAAATCAGTCAGTCAGTCAGCATCAACCATAGCAATTATCACCACACTGACTACAATATATGTCACCAAGCAGCCAAATACAGACCAAATCAGTCAGTCAGAGAGCATCATCCTATGGCAATCAATCAACACATTGGAGAGAACTACCATATATGGCACCAAGCAGGCAAACACAGACCAGGCAGCAGGAGGACAGAATAACCATGGCAATCATCAGACTGATAAACAATAGATGTCCACCAGCAGCCAATACACCAATCAGGCATCAGCACAGCATCAACCATGTCAGCAAGCCACACATTGGGGCTGGGGGGGGGGGTGGGCGAGGGGGGTGGGGGGGGTGGGGGGGGCGGGGGGGTCTAGTGGGGGGGGGACTACAAATATGTCACCACCGTTCAACAACAACCAAATCCTCAGTCAGACGCCTCAACCAGGGCAATCAGCAGCCACTGACTACAATAATGGTGTGCACCAGCAGCCAAATAAGACCAAATCATCCAGTCAGTCATCAGCATCACCAGGGCAGATAATCAACACATTGACTACAATAAGAACGTTACCAGCCAGTCCAACACGACCAAATCATCAGTCGGGGCAGCACAAAAACCCTGGCAATCAATCAAGGGGCACGACTACAATAAAAATGTCACCAAGCAGCCAAATACCGGGGCCCAAACCAGTCAGTCAGTCGCATCAACCTGACAATCAAACCACACATGACTAAATAAT